ACATCCAATGTAATAATCCCTGAAACAATGCCAGTTCTTTGGCCAGACAGGGTTTATGATGGTTTTTGTTTTTCTATGACCTGTCTGGTGTCAAAAATACATCTATAGTGAAGTGTGATGAAGACAGATTGCTTTAGTGGAACAGTATGAACTGCACTTTGAGTGCTACATGACAGATGGGATTTAGCAGCATAACTACAGAGTTCAGATTCCCAACAGAAATAGCCTTAAAATGATCACACATGCTTTGTGATCTTGTAAAGAAAACAACATCTACAGATTATTGGCTAGTAATGGGGTTACTGATTTCACACACATGGGTGGAAAAAACGACTGAATAAATGAATAAATATTCATTGGAGCTAGAATGCTCTCCATCAGAGATTTTGACACTAAAAGGATGTTTTCACATTCATCTGCTGAAAGTGGAAAGTGTGCATGATTTGTGACATCACAAATATAAGTCAATCCTGGTCCAGTACGCAGCATATACGTGTATGTATATATGTAGTAAACTTGAAGCCACCAGCACACATACACTGGGAATGGACTTTACAGTGAAGTGGGAGACATCAACGAGGTAGACAGAGAAGATGCCTTTTTAAGGATTTTAATGTAGGAATTGTACTGTTTTGTGGAAAAATCACGTCTTAATAATGTCTGTCTAATACTGTCAAATTCAGTAACTCACAATTACATTTTGAACCGTAAACATGCCCTTCCTTCTGTTGTTAGTGGAAATATTAAAATGCTTCCAGAACAAATTAGTCGCAGTATTGAACTTAGAGTTACAGGATTGATAGGGTTATGGGTTAGAGTTAAAATGAATGTTGAGCATACTGACATGCAAAGAAAGAGGAGAATCAGAGTTTCTGGAGCCTGAGGTCAGTTTTAAATCTATGGCATGAGGAGAAGAGCCATGGCAAAAAGGGACCAAACCACACTACACCAGCCTATCCACCAGGCACATGGCTTCAGTTAACTGTAGAACACAGGTGGTCTGAGGGGGGATTCCAGCTTTTGGAAGTGTGTGTGTGTGTGTGAAAATTTAATCTGTCTTTTTTCATTCATACAGGGACAGAGAGACTCATGCTGCCATACTGCAGTCTATCGTCACATAGTTATACATAATCTTTGATGAAATTCAACATTGACCATTTGTGCTTAAAACTTGTAATAAAAATGAATTATATTATTTATAATTTCAATACTGTACATGCTCAGTTAATTGAACCCAGACAGCCTGCTGCTGTACTGTAAACCAGTTTCCAATTACTCTTATAATGTATAGCCTATGTTGATTAGAGCTAAAACAATTAATCGAT